GATATCTACTTGAATTATAAGTCATTTGTGGATTATAAGCTAAGTAGACTATAATCTTAATCAAAAGTTGTCAAACATTGCCTAAATGAACCTTCACCTCATACACATTAAAAGGAAACATACACACACACACGGAATATATATACATATATATATATATATATATATATATATATATATATATATATATATATATATATATATATATATATATATTATTATAATTATATTATATATTATATATATATATATATATGTGATATATATATATATATATATATATGTATATATATATACTATATATATATATATATATATATATATATATATATATATATGTATATATATAATATTATATATATATATATATATATACTATATATATATATATATTTATGTATATATAATATATATATTATATATATATATATATTATATATAATATTATATATATATATATTAATATGTAATATATATATATATATAGATGTATATATATATATATATATACGTATATATATATATATATATCGTACTCTCTTCCCACCCCATTCTATACCTATATATTATATATATATATATATAATATATATATATATATATATATATATAAATAGAAGAGAAAACTTGTGTCAAACTTAAGTTGAACATCCACCGAAACTTCTTAAGCGCATTAGATGTTTCGCTAGGGATCCTTCATGATATTGAAAGTGACTTATATATATATATATATATATATATATATAAGATTATATATATAATATATTATATATATATATACCTTATTATATATATAATTATATATATATATATATATATAATATTATATATATAATAACTATATATATATATATATATATATATATATATATATATATATTATATATATATATATATATATAATTTATATACATATAATATATATATATATTATATATATATGTGTGTGTGTGTGTGTGTGTGTGTGTGTGTGTTGGATAGAAACAGTTTGGTGGACAATATATTTCCCTATCCACTTAAGTTGATAGGAGTCTTGCTCTCTCTGCTGCTCTCTCTCTCTCTCTCTCTATCTATCTATATATATATATATATATATATAATATATATTTATATATATTATCATATATATATATTATATATATATATCACTATATATACTAATAATTATATATATATATATCCTATATTATATATAATATTATAATGATCATGATATATATATATATATATATATATATATAATATATTATATATATATATATATATATTATATATATAATATATATATATGGCCTGAGCAACTCAGCAAGAGCGAGATAGCAGATAATTTTGAAGTTAGCGACAGGGCTTAGGGTTCGATACGTACGATATGGGTTCCCGTGCAATCCCTCCGACGATCGATCCCCTATTTAATAAGATGAACAGGCTGCAAAACAGACACGTTAGAGGATCGAAGTTGGGCTTTCCGATGATTCCTCCGATGATCAAGTCAATATAGAGCTTGAGTGGGGAATCAATGAACTGAATAAGTTTAGAATGTAAGATAAGTGGGCCAGAATTGACATATATGTGGCCCCGAAGGGGGACTAAGGATCCCCATCTACCGATAGCTAGGCGATGAGCCCATATGAGAGGGGTACAAGCATAACTCTGATCGAGTCTAGGCAGACAGCTGGATTGACAAATAACTTTACAGAAATCAATTGGCTGTGCAATGAGTCACCCTTGATTTGATATGATGGTGATTGAGGGGGCGTGGTGCTGACGATAGGTGGTGAGTCATGGAGGCTAGGGACACTAGTCATGATGATGACGGACAGTTGTTGGTATCGAGTTCGAGGATGAACCACCCCTCGCATCAATTCTGCAAGAGGAATGATAAGTATCGCATTTTTTTCGGCATCGCAGGTTGTCGACTCAGCTATGAGAGTGGTCGACTCGAGTGATGAGGTTGAGTGAAAGTTGGTATCAGCTTGGCATGCTCAGAAAGGGTCGAGAGCCCATGTGACCCAACTTGGCCATGGCTGGGGTGAGCTGGGAGGATTGGTTAACACTGATATGGAACAGGTGACAAGGATTGATTAACACTAGGATCATTTATTGACATAACAATGTATATGCATCTGATCAAGCATCCCTGATTTTTGAGGGATTCGGATCCTCTCCACTACAAAAAAATAGTGGAGGGACCACTACATAATCACAGCCATTGATTATCTAGTTAATGGTTATGATTTTTTCTTTTAGTACAAATTATGAATGAGTGCAATACACGGGTGTATGGTAAGTGTTAGATTTAGATTGTATCATAACCGCCTACTAAATAATCAACGCTTGAGATTAAAAGTAGTGGTCTCTTCACTAATTTTTTGTAGTGGAGAGGATCCAAATCCATTTTTGAGGTACGTGTTTATTGATGATTGGTGGGACAGTGGGACTTAAAAGATGGGATCTTCCATCCATCCTGAAGACCGGTCCTTGGACCATGCGACGCATTGATTTACAGCATCCACGTCCCCACTCTTTTGACCCGGCCCTCACGCTATCTAATCATCACCAAAGCTATCCCTCTCGATTATGTGATCTCATTATCATTACTCTTCGGTTGCCTAGCTTAGCTGCTCTTTTCTTTTTCTTTTCTCTTTTTCTTTCCTCTCTCATAATTTATCTTTTTCTTATTCAATTTTATTTTCTCTTATTATTATTATTGGTTATTTCTCCCGGGTAGTGGAAGAGAGTTGGGGTACCACGTGACCGGAGTTGTCACGTGAGCATCAGATACATCATCATATATTAATAATTAATAATGGGGAAATGATGTTTCACAGATGTGACATGTACGATCTGGGGCTGTGGTGGGTTTTCGTTTAATCTGAAGAAGATGACATAAGAGTATGATTTGGCCGCAGGCGTGTTCCGACTACCAATTCCAACGCGGCCTGAGTTGTATAGTCTTCGCTGGACTCCGGGGCTCGGGCCAAGGAGCCACTCCTCGTGATCGGAGACACACATACGTTACGTATATAGATTTTGGAACTGGTATATATATATTTTTTTGTATAGAAGACTGTTCCAGGGGCGATCACGTGGGCTCTTTTGACCAACACTCAAGTGTCCCCGCTCTTTTCTGTGCCTTTGACTGAGACCGACCAATATCATGCATTGTTTGCTACGCCTCTCTCTCTCTCTCTCTCTTTCTCTCTCTCTCTCTCTCTCTCTCTCTCTCTTTTTGATGAGCATCCATCCGCCCATCTCATTATCGATCCCTGCATAAGCAATTAGCTATGGCTAGTACTTGTTAAGTGAAAGCTTAGCCCAGGCACGCGTCGTCCTTGTATATATGAACCCAACGCACGAGCTTCAACTCAGTGGCATTAACTGCCAGTATACCAAGAGGAAGAGGGAGAATAACACAGTGAAATATTAGCAAAACAAGAGTACTACACAGATCCTCTGTATTAATCTTGATTCTAGGGAGTTTCTTTATATAACTCACTGATCAGGTCTTTTCACTCAGCGAATCTCGTGAATGTCATTACTCTAGATTATCTAGACGTATAAAAATAGTTTTAATTATGTGATCGATCCGTTGTGATAAGCCGGCCAGTAACGCACCGGTCCATCTAACATATATTACATAGTGCATGTTCTCCTCGATCTACAATTAAGATGATTGTAGAGAGGCAGACCAGCAAGGGAAAGGAGGGATGCGTACGTAATTAATTAATTTGCATGCGAAGATTAGAAAAGGTGGTCATGGTTTGTGTATCGTGCTCATTAAGATTTCCCAAAAAGCCTAATTACCAATCAAACCCATGCCATGCACCAATCGAGGTGCGTGCGTGAGATCTGAGTGACCCACAGCTGGCCCGCTTTTCTGTGATGAAGTAGCTAGCACTTATCCCGGAGGTGGTGATAACTGATCAGAACCAGACCTATCGATCCCCGGATTCAATTTAATTTCGATCTCGTTTTACGACGCACCGATATCGTACTCCTGCTGACTAGTCTTGATCTCCTTTCTTTCCCAACTAATTATAAACTCATAAATATATATACTACCTTTATTTGATTTTTATTATATTTAAAATTAGTAACTAACTGAACATACATACCCTTAATTTCTGCGGTGTGTACAGTGCATGGTTGTTTTTCTCGTATCTCTGTTCGTGACTCTGCATGATCGATCTAAACAGACAAACCCACCCCCTCCGATAGATCTCCCACTTCCCTAAGTACGTAGTACTTTCATTAATTAATTTTATTAAACTTATAATATACATAGCCCTAATATATTAAGTTGCCTGTCCGTTTGGTTGCTGCGTGCGCGCGCCAAATACGTATAGACGTACGACACTAGCTAGTCTCTTTAAATTAACGCATCCATCAGTTAAAAATTAATTAAAAAAAAAAGTTAACAACACGAGTACATATACACTGATTTGCGTCGTCCTTGTTTAATTGTTAAGTGATATATATTAATTTGATCTCCTCTCTCCAGGGAAGCTAGCAGGGTAATTACTAAACTACCTCTAGCTAGCTGTTGCCTATCCCAACGCAGCCCCACTAGTACTTCAATTCGGGCGTGACCCTTCATTTATTAATTTGCTTCTTTCCTGAGAAGACGACCGCGGCCACCTAAAACTCGATTCATCACTTGCTACTACTTCATTCATTCTCCTGATCGAATACTCTCAATGATTGGCCAGCTCTTCTCCTTCTTCTCCTTCAAAGAGTCACTGGCATGTATAATTAGCCCTCTTAGACCACAACCTCTCTCTCTCTCTCTCTCTCTCTCTCTCTCTCTATATATATATGATATATATATATTAATATACATATATATATATATATATATTATAATATATATATATTATATATATTTATATGCTGCAGCGGTGCCAATAGCTACGCGCAAAACAGCACTACCTCCTCTCCATGCAGTTGTTCCAATGTATTCAGCGATCAGGCGATCCAAATGGGATCCAGCGCCCGACCAAACGCGCTACTACTCTACTACTACTCCTTCAGCATCAGTCGATCTGCACTCTCTCTCTTTGGCACTCCTTCAACCCGCCACACTAATTCCACCGCTACTGCCTTCTGCCATGTTAATCAACCGCTCCTCCCCAAACAGCCTCTGCTGGGACATCAATAACATCAGTGCAGATCAGCCCAGAGCCCAACGGTGCTACCCCAGTACTGCTACCGCACCCGCCTTTCGATCGCCTGCTGTTAATCCTGCTTCCGCTTCTTCTTCGAACCTGGGAGGATCGGATCCTCTACTTCTAGCTCGCCGGTGCGCTAACTGCGACACCACTTCCACTCCCCTTTGGAGGAACGGGCCCAGGGGTCCTAAGGCACGTACACACGCGCACCGCGATCATTTACTTACTTACTTTTTATTTACTATTATAATAGCATGTACAATGTTACTAGGCATGCGTGATCACGATGAGATTAATAAATACTGATGCGTGTGTGTGTGTGCGCGCGCATTTTGACATTAAATTAATGCGTGCAGTCTCTGTGCAACGCTTGCGGCATCCGGTACAAGAAAGAAGAAAGGCGCTCAGCAGCATCAACAGCAGCTGCAGCAAACTTAAAAAGCGCGACTGGCCTGTCATCATCATCTCGGCTGCAGCAGCAGTATCCGTGGAACAGCAACTCAGCATCCTCGCCGTGGTACCAAAACATTAATGAAGACCAACATCACCATCATCATCACCAGTCGCCTTGCCTCTCTTGGAGACTCAACGTGATTCCTACTCATCAGTTGGACTTCGTCGACAGACCCAGCCTCTTCCAATACCAGTAGCAGTATTATTATTGCTGTTACTATTATTACTACTAGTATGTAATCCTTGACTAGTTAGTTATATATATATATATGTAAGGTGGTTCAGCAACGACTCGATCAGTTGCAGCCCGTCCGGCACCCCCGCCCAAAAGCTGTAGTTAAGCAGCCATCAGCTAGCTGTAGCTCTTTGTAACTCCTTTTTGCTTAATTTTGACTCAGCAGACCCAGCCTCTTCCAAAAAAGCACGTCCTCGATCACTTATTAGTTATGGTATGGTGCCTTGTGCGTCTGTGCGTTGTTTCCTCGTAATTGGGTGCTGGGCAGTGGCCGTTGTATGTTATGTCAAAGATGTACTGATACGAGTTATCGTGAGCTAGCTAGCTAGCTAGCTATAATCAGGTAGCTAGGGGGGCGAAAAGGCACTGCAGATGAGAAAGCTAGAGAGGGGGAGAGTGTGAGTCCAAGCAAATTCCAACCTAAAAAAGTAAGTCCAATCAGATAAGGTTTGTGATGCGTACAAATGAAATTAATCTCTGTGTACTTGCTTTGTGATCAGGGCTTGGAGTGGTCGTTTTCACAAGTCACACGTACACATGACACGCTCACATCATCCCCACCTGCGCTAACTCGCCTATATGTATGCTGCACGTGTCCCCAGTATTACTGTGATGTTCTCACCTGCCCCCGCTTTAAAAGATTCCTATTTAATTATGTTCCCTCTCTTTTATTTACTTTGCTTTCGTTAGCTTTAATTTGCACCGATACTCACTACCACATATTTGCTCTAACGCAACGGTTCAAAACCGTTGCGCTAGCCATGGAACCGTCACCCTTGAGCAAGTGCGACGGTTCTCAAACCGCCTCATATGCTGCCGTTGCCCTACCTCTATCGTAACGGTTTTGCACTCTATTGCGACGGTTTTTTAAACCGTTGCCCCTGCATCTGACGCAACGGTTTTAAAAGGTAAGCGATTTTTAAGTCATTGCAACGGTTTTGATTGAGCTATTGCGACGATTTTTAAGCTACTGCGACGGTTTTTTATAGCTATTACAACAGTTTTAAAAGATCTAACGCAACGGTTTTAAAAAGCAAGCGGTTTTTAAGCCATTGCAACGGTTTTGCTTGAGCTATTGCGACAGTTTTTAAGCTACTGCAGCGGTTTTTTATAGCTATTACAACAGTTTTAAAAGATCTAACGCAACGGTTTTAAAAAGCAAGCGGTTTTTAAGCCATTGCAACGGTTTTGCTTGAGCTATTGCGACAGTTTTTAAGCTACTGCAGCGATTTTTTATAGCTATTACAACAGTTTTAAAAAACCTAACGCAACGGTTTGGATTGAGCTATCGCAATAGTTTTGATCGAGCTATTACAACGTTTTTGATTGAGCTATTGCAACGGCTCTGATTGAGTTGTTCTTGGTTCCCTACGTCGAAATCATATAATATTCAATTACCTGGACAATCTTTTTAAGAACATGGCCAAGTCAAATTTTAATACACAATATAAAAGTGAAAATGTTGAGCATAATCAACCATAATGATAAGTGCCAACATACATCAGTATAGTATAAAAACTACAAAGTATTAAATCCACACTACCAACATTTCAACTCAGAAAATATCGTACCGAACTAACATTCAAACAATGTACATCAACATTTGATTACAAAACATGAAACTTCTCGGTCAAAGACTATATTCTCTATTTGTTTCCAAAAACTTGTTCCTCAATGTCAAATACTCACTAGGAACCTGTCAGTATCAATCTCAATCTTGGCTTTCATCAATTTCGGTTCAAAAGATTCATAAATCAACGCGCAATCAACTCAGAAGCAACATCTTCTAATATACTCAGTGACCCAATCCAATAAATCCTATGATGATTCTTTGCTAGCAGCAGAATTATGCATTGATGATATCCACGAAGCAGCTAGAGCTATAGTTCAGATAGATAGATGCTCTTTTATCGGCCCCCTCTTTCCTAGTGCCACACAATTTGATCAAATAGAAAAGGAAAAGAAAAGAAATCAAATGGATATTTTAGATAGCAAAACAGTGAAAGTAGCTAACAAAGTTTTCTGGAACCATGTCAACCAGTTTCAAATAAAGAGTAACTTATGAATACATGCACCAAGAGAAGAACGATAAATGAGGTTCTACAAGTGCATAAAGCAGCTCAAGGGACATAAACCTGACACATACACAAACTTTGAAGTTACCCAAAGGCTCTAGCCATTTAAGTAGGTAAAGATGCTTAGATTTCTCCCAGACACTAGAGAGACTTGGTCCAGTTGGTATAAATCCAATCGGAGAATTGGTGCCAATGACGCTGGTGTTACGTTCATGAAGTAACTCAGTTCAATGAAGTAACTGGGTTATTCAGTACTCCGGTCCTTGATAAATTCCAGTCCTTGAACTATATCTACTCATTAGAGAGTAATTACTAATTCCCACAACCCAACATATCTGTACATGGCAAGGTACTGTGCTCTCAGACATTATGAAAAAGCATATCAGGCTTGCATTTTCCACACTTTGACATAAAACAACTGAAATTTCCCATTGATAACATAATATCATAGAAGATCAAGAATATATTTCAGGTGGTCCGATATGATAAATAACAGGAATAAAGTCTACGTCTTCTAGATTCTAGAGCTTCAAAAATTCACGGTTGTTCTCTTTAACTTGTATAAAACTGACAAACATGCTAAAATTTGCGATGGGTATTTAAATGCGAGTTTTTAAAACTTTAGGGTATTTAAGTGCAAGTTTTAAAAACTATAGGGTATTTAAGTGCAAGTTTTAAAAACTTTAGGCTATATAAGTGTTGCCAAAAACAAGTGAGGGTATATAAGTGAAAGTTTAAAAAACATTAAGGTATATAATTGTTGCCAAAAACAAGTGAGGGTATACAGTGCAACGTAGGGGAAACTATAGGGCGTGCAATTAAGCCTGACAATAACTCATTTCATAAATTGTACTCATAGTGCCAAAAACTTTGTAGTTGTTGCTAGTATATTACCAAAATCATTGAATTGACAAAATCAGTTACAAAGAGAAGAAATGCTTCAGTGCACCTACGATAATCCTATATATTTACAGGGCAAGCTCTGCCATCTGCCACCCATGTTATGTCCAATAAACAGTTTAAGTCCTCAACAAATTCTTATACTCAAGAGAAGGTAAAGCACTTAACAAAGTTGCACTCGCCATTTAACTCACAAGCTCAAACAAGAGATCTCAAAATATTCATAGATTCCATACCATGACAATCCATTTTCAATGGTCTCAAAATATTCATAGATTCCATACCACGTGCATGTCTAGAGAACGGTTAAGTCTGTGTTGGCTAGTGTGTTGTTCACATGACACATATCCAGACCACTACAATTCAGAACATCAACAAATCCATTAACGGCACATGCGTGCAATGCATGTACACACACACACTGTATGTACGTGCGTGCACACAAACAAACACAGAGTGCATGTTACATACTTTAAACTACGGAATCAGAAGGAACATTTTACCTGCTCTGTTGTGGCATGTGACCCATAGTTCACCTCTTTACGTGACAATGCCTTCAATGCTGCAAGGAACGACTGAACCTGGAATCCAAAAGCTTAAAATAAGATTAAGAACTGAACCTATTGATAGCCATCCACAATTACGTAACAAGATTAAGTCAGGAAATTTTTTCCCCTCCAAAATCTATTGAAGGTATTATTTAAATGCAACATTAATAACTTCAAAAGAAAATCTATTGAAGTTTTTCAATGAATATGAAATTTAAAATAAATATGATAATATGGGAACATGCAAATCGAAGTCCTAACTGGATATACCACATAATTATGTCACTTGACAACTTTTGTTGGAAAGCAAGAAGTCCTTGCAAATGAGAAAAATCCTTAATCAAATGAAGGCAGCTCAAGGAATTAAAGTTACTGAATACACAAGGAAGCACCATAAATGCACGCTCGTACAAAAATGAAGCATGTAGAAACTTTAACTTAGGTTGGTGTTTATTTCCTCTTGAAGAATGAATATGTTTCATCAGCGAAATGAGAATGCATAAACTTATCTACCAAAAATTAGATCTTCTGACATGCCCAGACACAAAAGTTATGTCCAACCATTTCCACCAGTTACAAACTTTTATAGATACTACTGATAATGGAATGTAAATTTAGTATACTTTGACTACCTAAATTTGCAGTAGAAAGATTTCAAAGAAAAATATGTGCAGTCAAGGACCTATTAAAATGAATATAATAAATAATTAAAAAAGGCACTAGTTCCCTCATTAGGTTTATGAACAAGCAGAAATCCTCAAGGTTATCTGCTTCATTATATCATATTTAGCACTTACTAAGATTTAATATTGCCTTATTTCTGATGTAGGTGACACTTAGACAAATATAAAAATGTAGAACAACGAACTACCTGCTTACGATAGTTCCTGCCCCTACTGTTCTTGTAGTACATCAGCAACATACACTTGACAACCATTGCTGTCTGGCGTACCAGGGTATCTGCATAGAAATAGATAGTAAGGCATTACCAGAGTACATAAACAATCTGTACATTTACTAATGAATATAAACAATCAACGTAAACATGACCTACATTATGATGAATCACAAATTAATTGTCATTGTTTATCTTGCTTTCACAACATCATAGTTCCCAACCCAAGCACAATAAGAACACCTGCATAGTTCAAAAATAAGAAACACATCTAATTCCAATCTTGACACAAGTACAAAGTATTGAAGACAAATTAAGGAGTATCCTCCATCCAATCCTAATCTGATTCATCTTGATTTCCACTGTCTGTTTCATCTTGATCTCCACCTCTTGATTCTTCTTTATTAATCTCTATCAGAAAACAGCAATTAGCTCAGAACATGAAACAGCAATTCTAGCAGAAAACATGTATGCATGTCACCTGATTCAAAATTCCGTAGACGCTGGAATTGGTACCATCATGGAGTTGGGAGACTCACTTTCTTACTCTCAGTAGTCAACATTTACCTCATGATCCATGTTGGCGCTGCAGGAACTTCTTGGAAAATTGGTTATGGCATCAACCTTTCTGTTCCACTTACGGGAGTTGTCTTAGAAATATTTTTGTGGACGAGATGGTCTCAGAAAACTTCTATTCCTCCAACATTCTAAAATGCAACCTGGGAATTGATGATCATGATGCCATATAAAGAGGTATGGT